AATGCTCAAAATTCTCCAAGCCAGGCTTCAACAGTACGTGAACCGTGAACTTCCAAATGTTCAACCTGGGTTTAGAAAAGGCAGAGGCATCAGGGATCAAATTGCCAACATCCACTGGATCATTGAAAAAGCAAGAGGGGTCCAGAAAAACATCTATTTCTGCTTTATTAACTATGCCAAAGCCTTTGACTGTGTGGATCACAACAAACTGTGGAAAATTCTTCCAGAGATGGGAACACCAGACCACCTGACCTGCCTCCTGTGAAATCTGTATGCAGATCAAGAAACAACAGTTAGCACTGGACATGGAACAGACTGGTTCCAAATCAGGAAAGGAGTACGTCAAGGCTGTATATTGTTACCCTGTTTATTTAACTTATATGCAGAGTACATCCTGCAAAATGCCAGGCTGGATGAAGGACAACTGGAATCAAGATTGCTGGAAGAAATATTAATAACCTCAGATATGCAGATGACACCAACCTTATGGCAGAAAGTAAAGAAGAACTAAAGAGCTTTTGACGAAAGTGAAAGAGGAGAATGAAAAAGTTGGCTTAAAACTCAACATTCAGAAAACTAAGATCATGGAATCTGGTCCCATCACTTTATGCAAATAGATGGGAAAACAATGGAAACAGTGACAGACTTTATTTTTTGGAGCTCCAAAATCACTGCGGATGGTGACTGCATCCATGAAATTAAAAAAGGTTTCTCCTTGGAAGAAAAGCTATGACCAACTTAGACAGCATATTCAAAATCAGACATTACTTTACCAACAAAGGTCCATCTAGTCAAAACTATGGTTTTTCCAGTGGTCATGTATGGTTGTGAGAGTTGGTCTGTAAAGAAAGCTGAGCACCAAAGTATTGATGCTTTTGAACTGTGGTGTTGAAGAAGACTCTTGAGAGTCCCTTGGACTGCAAGGAGTTCCAACTAGTCAATCTTAAAGGAAATCAGCCCTGAATATTCATTGGAAGGACTGATGCTGAAGCTGAAAATCCAATACTTTGGCCACCAGATGTGAAGAATCAACTCATTGGAAAAGACCCCGATGCTGGGAAAGATTGAAGGTGGGAGGACAAGGGGACAGAGAATGAGATGGTTGAATGGCATCACCGACATAATCGACATGAGTTTGAGTAGCTTCCAGGAGTTGAGTGGTCTCCAGGGAAACCTGGCATGCTGCAGTCCATGGGGTCACAAAGAGTTGGACACAACTGAGTAACTGAACTGAACTGAACTGCATAGCCCAGTGGTTTTTCCTATGTTCTTCAACTTAAGCCTGAATTTTGCAATAAGGAGCTCAAGATCTGAGCAGTAATCAGCTCCAGGTCTTGTTTTTGATGACCGTATACAGCTTCTCCATCTTTGGCTTCAAAGAACAATATTAAAAGGCCAAAAGATGATACTGGAAGATGAGCCCCCAGGTTGGTAGGTGTCCAATATGCTACTGGGGAAGAGTGGAGAAATAGCTCCAGAAAGAATGAAAAGACTGGGCTAAATTGAAAATGATGCTGAGTTGTGAATGTGTCTGGTGGTGAACTAAAGTCCAATACTGTAAAGAATAATATTTCACAGGGATGTGGAATGGTAGGTCCATGAATCAAGGTAAATTGGATGTGGTCAAATAGGAGATGGCAACAGTGAACATTAACCTTATAGGAATCAATGAATTAAAAAGACAGGAATGGGAAAATTTAATTCAGATGACCGGTATACCTACCACCGTGGCCAAGAATACCTCAGAAGGAATGGAGTAGTCCTCATAGTCAACAATAAGAGTCCGAAATTCAGTACTTGAGTGCAATCTCAAAAATGACAGAATGATCTCAGTTCATTTACAAGACAAACCATTCAACATCACAGCAATTCAAGTCTATGCCCCAACCACTAATGCTGAAGAAGCTGAAGTCAAACGATTCTATGAAGACCTACAAGACCTTTAGAACCAACACCAAAAAAGATATTCTTTTCATCATAGGGGATTGGAATGCAAAAGTAGGAAGTCAAGGGATGCCTGGAGTAACAGGCAAGTTTGGCTTTACAAAATGAAGCAGGGCAGAAGCTCACAGAGTTTTGCCAAGAGAACACACTGGTCTTAGCATACACCCCTTTCCTACATTGGGTTAGTTGACATAATAACTATCCTTTCACATATTTTTTGAGGTAAGTTTTCTAGTAGTGCTTTTTTGAATCACCATAATTTGGTGGATGAGATGTGATGTATTTCATGTGTATCAGTGAAAAGACATACTGTTTTAAAATGAAAATTTGAAGCTCAGGTTATTTTGTATTCTCTTCACCATAAACAGTATGATTATAGGTATGCCTGATCACAACTATAGAGTATGTGTGCCGGTGCATGTGTCAGTCTAGAGAAAACTCTGAAAAACATTTTGCCTTCTATTATTAATGAATACAATTAAGGCCACTCAGGCAGCATAGTTACATAACCACAGATAGCACTAAATTAGACTGGAACCAAAAGAAAGTCAAGTTAGTAGTCATGGGATTAACACCACATAGTTACCTTGCTTAATACTAATTTAAAAATAATCTGTTCTACATATCAAGTTACAAAATGAATGCTTTAAAAGCAAGGCTTTTCATTTATCAAACACTTCTTTCTTTTCAATATTCTGATATTTAGATATGGGTTAAATTAATAGTCCACATGTCACTTTTCAACTGAAGTGATATGGTTGTGCCATGGAAAAGTACCATGAATAATTATATTGCACAAGACTGACTGTAACTAACTTGTCCACTCCTTGGGTGTGCTCAAGCCTCAGCCCTCAAGCATTCTGGAAATACTATTTGCTGCGACCCTTCAGTTAATGTGGTTATCCCCCTTCCTATTAAAGAAATTTCAGTGTTATTATAGATATGGAAATTCTCTGTGGGACCAAAATATTTATGGATAAAATGATAGGACATTTGGCATTTGGTTCAAAATAATCCAGGACCAGCTGGACAGCAAAAGATGAGGTGGTATACATAAAACAGAACTGACTGAGTTGATCATTGTTTAAAGTAGGTGATACAATTTGTATGGAAATACAAAAAACCTCGAATAGCCAAAGTAGTCCTGAGAAAGAAGAATGGAACTGGAGGAATCAATCTGCCTGACTTCAGACTATACTACAAAGCCACAGTCATCAAGACAGTATGGTACTGGCACAAAGACAGAAATATAGATCAATGGAACAGAATAGAAAGCCCAGAGATAA